GGATGCGATACTGGACCTGATGGTCACCAACGCAAGTGAGCTAATTGGTGACGCCAAGATTGGAGGCAGCCTGGGCTGCAGTGGTCATGCAGTGGTGGAGGTTGCAGTCCTGAGGGATATGGGTCAGGCGAAGAGTGAAGTCAGGACCCTGAATTTTAGGAAAGCAAACTTCCAGCTGTTCAAGAAATTAGTCAATAGGACCCCCTGGGAAACTGCCCTCAGGGACGAGGGAGCAGAACAGAACTGGCAGATCTTTAAGGATGCTTTCCGTAGAGCGCAAGAGCTCTCAATCCCCAGCTATAAGGAATCAGGAAAGGAAGGCAAGAGACCGGCATCGCTGAGTCGAGACCTGCTGGTCAAACTAAAGGACAAGAAGGAAATGCACAGGCAGTGGAAGCAGGGACAGGTATCTTGGGAAGAGTATAGGGACGCTGCCCGATTGCGTAGGGATGGGGTCAGAAAGGCCAAGGCATGGCTGGAGCTGAACTTGGCAGGGGATGCAAAGGGTAATAAGAAGGGCTTCTATAGGTATGTTAGCCAGAAAAAGAAGGTCAAAGAAAGTATAGCCCCCCTGATGAACACATCTGGCAACCTGGTAACAATGGACAAGAAGGCTGAGGTACTCAACAATTTTTTTGTCTCAGTCTTCACTGGTGACCTCTCCTCCCACACCTCTCATGTGGATGGACTGCAAGACAAGAACTGGGGGAGCAAAGTCCCTCCCACTGTAAGAGAAGATCAGGTTTGTGACCACCTGGGGAACCTGAACATACGTAAGTCTGTAGGACCTGACAAGATGCATCCAGAGTCCTGAGGGAATTGGCTGATGTAGTTGCCGAGGCACTCTCCCTGATATTTGAAAAGTCATGGCAGTCATATGAAGTCTCCGGTGACTGGAAAAAGGGAAACATTGCACCCATTTTTAAAAAGGGTAGAAAGGAGGACCCTGGGAACTACCGACCTGTCAGCCTCGCCTCTGTGCCTGGGAAGATCATGGGTCATGCAGCCTTTCTATGCTTAAAGGGTGCTTATAAGAAAGCTGGTGACAGATTTTTTAGTAGGGCCTGTTGTGATAGGACAAAGGGTAATGGTTTTAAACTAAAAAAGGGTAGATTTAGACTAGATATAAGAAAGAAATTTTATACTGTGAGGGTGGTGAAACACTGGCACAGGTTGCCCAGAGAGATGGTAGATGCCTCATCCCTGGAAACATTCCAGGTCAGGCTGGACGGGGCTCTGAGCAACCTGATCTAATTGAAGATGTCCCTGCTCACTGCAGGGGGGTTAGACTAGGTGACCTTTAAAGGTCCCTTCCAACCCAAACCATTCTATGATTCTACTGTTTGTCAGTTGAGCCATGGTAACCATCCACTCCATGGTGCCTTAGTGGTCTTGGTCTTGGCACATGAACACATGATGAACACCTGCACAGACGATACCAGTTTGTTTTATTCAACTAATTTGACTATATATCTGAGTTTCTATTTCTGTAGAGGAAGGGGATAAAGTTTACTGCAGTAACAACGTCTAGCTGGGGAGGGGCAGAGTATGCCATAGGTGTAACCTAAATGCTTATGTACACGTGCGCGTGTGATGAAAGGGTGTCATGCACAGTATTATACATGTGTAATGTTTTGTTATTTAAATGAATGAACTAAACCAAACAGACTTAGAACTAGAGCTGGAAATTTCAGGTGGAGGTTGAAGTAAACTGGTACATTTTTATTTCTTCAGTCACATATACCTCAGTAGACATATTTAGACTGTTCTGCGATCTGTATACTCAGATCTACTTTCTGTGTTTAATGGCACTGTCCCATACTATCTTGGAGGCAAACAAGAACAGTAATGATTAAAGTAAGACATTGATAGCTGAAACAATGCATTATTGCTCTCTGATTTTCTGCCAAATCTCATTTTAACACGGAGCTTGTGCACTACCACTGACCACCTCAGTTGCCTGAATGTATGCTCTAGAGCCGTGGGAGTGTACAGGTAGCTTTGTTCTTGTGGTGTTGTGCTTGATTTACTTACTAAGTACCGGTATTTGCATGTGTGGAGATATATACATACCTGTACAGCCTTCCACGCACCTGCTGATATCTCCGAGCGCTTTAGACTTCTCCTTATTTCGGAAGTGTGCAATATTGCTTCTTAAAGGAGGGCAAATAAGAAGAAAGAATTACACAAGACATGCTTAAAAATACACCATTTTTTTTCTGTGTGACCGAGAGCCCAAATAAAGCATATTTGACTGTTGGAACCAAACATGCAAGTAGCTTATAAGCGTTGCCCAACAGTTTGCTTTGCAGATTTAAACTGCATTGCTTTTACATCCAACTCCCACAGAAAAACATCTCTCCTCAGGGGAGGACTGGTTAATGGTGAGTCATCCCTCTTCCCGTGCGCTCAGGTATACCTGTGCAAATGCAAATCGCTGCCTGGAAACCTGTTACACCAGATCCTGGATCGCCTGGCTGAAATTTTTTTTTTTTTTTGGGTTGGGGGTTTATTTTTTTTTTTTTTTTTTTTTTTTTTAATCTGGGAACACGGTGGCTGAGTGGTTTCGGAGCTCTGTGAGTGTGAAAGTTAAACATTTCCCACTGGTAAGGGGAGGGGAAAGAAAGAAAAAAACAGACAGATAACCGCATTTCTTTCATGTGCTTTGCTTCAGACCGACACCGGTGTCCCCAACGCCACCCGGGGCTCTCGAGGGAAAACGGGAGATTCAGAGGAAGCGGTGGATGGCAATAGGCCTGAGCCAGAAACGATCCTCCAGATGTGCCAGGCCCAGGTTGCCGAGCTGGAACAATGGCTAGACAAAACTAAAGTGTCCCTGAGATCAGACCCCCAGACCCCTGAAATGCAGCAGATGGTGGAACTGCAGCTTGCTGATTGCCAGGTAAGGTGGAGTGGTCAGTTTGCTGCTGCCATCCAAACAAGTCACCCTTCCCTGGGGTGTGTGTCTGCAGAAAAGCTGTGCTTACTGCTTCTCCTTTCCCCGCTTAATCGGCTTCGTTACACTGTGCAGAAAGCAGGTAACCGCTTGGCTTCAGTTTCAGGTGCAGCTTTCCAAGGGCTTAGTTAAAATACCTATTTTTAGAGTTGGGATCTTTATGCATCCGGGGGATTTAGGTAGAATTCTGGAGTATTTTTAAAGCTTTGTTTTTCTTTGGATTATTTTCAGAAACATGGCTCGGTATAGTTTGAATCCTCTATTAAATGGCAATTTTTCATTGGTCTCAATCATGATAAATCAGCTAGAAGAAAAGGAATATTTTTTTTCGTTTGACATTTTCACTTTCTATTTTTGCCAGTGTGATTTAAAAGACTGGTATAATATAGCTTCCATGCTGGTAAATTCTTCTTTTGCCCTTTTTGCAAAAAGCTGCCAGCATAGGTAGAAAGATAGCGCCTTTTCCCCTGCCCTCTGTGAGCAGTGGCGATATTTGGGCCTACTGCTGTACTTCTAGGGCAGGCTCTTGCCCCTGATGGCAGCGGAAGGAAAGGAGTGGGTGGTACCCTTTGGTGAAAAAGCGTGGAGAAAAACAGGACTGGCATGAGGGGCTGGGGTGGGTGGGAGTCCTGGCACGCAGCTTTTTTCTCTGGTGTGCAGATTAAAAGAAAATGTGCAGGCATGCCACTTTTGAAGTTCCCTGCGGTGACAGTCTGGTGTATCAGTTTGCTTCGAGCACTGAGTCTAAAGCAATGAACTTCACTCACCATAAAGGAGCCAATACCAAAATGTCCCCATTTTAAATTACTAGGAGATATTTCCAGCTGTTTTGTTGTTATTGTTAGGTGGGGTTTTTTTAATAGGAAGTGAGTCCTTGTCAAGAAGTGCCTCTGGGTTTAGGCTGTGATTCAGCCAAGTGCTCAGGTGCTGAACTCTGTGGTAATTAGGATCCTAAATGCACCTAAGTAGCTGGCTGTGTCTGGATCCCATTCAGCGTTGATGTCAATGTAGGCTTCGACAAGGCGGTTCCAACCAGTAAAACCAAGCAGGCTTCAGGCAGCTGTAAGCACTGCTGAATTCCTGTCGGCTTTTAACAGTTTGGCGCAATGTTAAGACATGAACTTGGTGGTGAGTTTTTCTAACCTAGTCAAGATCTATGCAGAAAAATACACATAGCACAAAGCAAAGCAGTCTCTAGATATGGCTGTATGACGTAAAGCAGTTAATTTGTTGCAGTTGATTACTTTGCAGTTGAGTACCTGTCTCCACACTCACCTTAAAATCGTGAGTTTAAAGTAATGCGGAGATGCACTTTGATTCACAGCAGCTTGAATCAAAAACCAGATCCCAACAGTTTACAATGGCCCGGCTGACACATGGTAATGTTACTATGTTTTGGTAATTCAGCATCATTCCTCCCAAAGGGTGATGTGATCAGTCTGTGCACTGCCTCCTTCTCCCCTGTTGGGGTGTGTTGTCTTCTGGGTTGCATCTGAATGGGGTCTTATCATTTCTGCTCTCCTCTTTCATTACTCCATATCTGAGTTAATATAACTTCCTGCAGAGGCTGTTGTTTGAAACAGTTTTAAGACTAACTCTGTATAAAATTTATTTAATTGTTCAGAATAAAAAGAGACTATATTGGAGAAAATCTAGGGACTTTCAGCTATTTCTCTTTTTGCCTGTATGTTTCTAGTCTTTTCAGACAGGGGAAGTGTGAGCATTGACTTCAGAATGTTATTAGGAAAGGAGTATTGTACTTCTAAGAATGAATAATTACCTGCTGTGCCTTCTAGGTGATGTTATCAGAGATTGAACAAAAGGTCAGTTCTTTACTGGAAGATTGTGGAGACAGTGCAGATTACCCACAAGAGACAGAGGCTCCTTCCCTGAAGCTCTCTTTCCCTGAAGCTGAAGGAAGTGAAGTGCAATTTGGAAAAAGTCCAGATGATGCTTCAAGACAAATACAATGAAGATCAGGTAAAGCATATGAAAGTTATGCAGAGTGAGAGTGAGAGAGTCACGGTGCTTTAATGTGCTGTAGTTGCAGAAGAACAGTTAGAGCTCACTATGTGAAGCAAGGAAGGGAGAAAAGTCAATCAGAAATGTCAGACTTGCTATTATTCTACTTTATGCTGTATAATTATTTGTAGTTTGCAGCAAATAGTGGCTTTTTAATCCACCCTGAACAACATCTTTTCTGCTTTAAGGGCTCAGTAACAGAGGTCAAGATTTTGTGAGGAGTACAGGAAAAGGATAAAGTTTTTTTTGTTTGGTTTGGTTTTTTTAAATGCCTTTAAAATGCCATGATGTTTGTCTCTGACTATCACAGCAGAGAGGCCTTTAAGCAGTAACTTTCTCTTTAAAGAATGCGTAAATGGCAAGGGCAGTGACTGCCACCTCTCCTGCGCCACAACTGCACGCTCTTTGCTGAGTTTCCCAATGGGTGAGACAGTAACTCCCAGCTTCAGAGCTAATTCCCGCTCTGTTGTGCAAGGGGCCAGAGAAGCCCACCTGATGTGTTTGTGTAAGAACAACCACAGTCTCTCTGGTGCTGGAGGAGCACAGTCTAAAAGGGAGCTTGCATGGCCCAGGAGAGAGTTAGTGCTAGTAAAGGCTCCTGTTGAAATATCTCTGTGAGCACAGACAGATAGAAAATCCAGGTGCATGAGCAAGTTTATAAGCATAAATTGCACATCCCTATAATTTGGTCAAACAATAAGAATGGAGGGTTAGTATCAATTAATCTGCTAACAGGAAAAGCAAAACAAGCCTTGTAACTGTCAGGGAGAGAAAAGCGAGGACTTTAGCAGCAGGTTAGAATGGATCAAACTTCCAGTAAATGGAACTGGACAGAAATCTTTGCAAGAGTAGCAACTGTGTTTCATGCACTGCTGATTCTATGTATGGTAAGTCCGAGACAGCTCCACTTTAGCCATTTCCCCAAATTGCCCCTGCAGTTTCTGCCCTCTTGTCAAGTCTGGAAGCCTTCCCGCAACAGTTCTCTTTACAGATTCACAACAGGGAGAGGATCGACCCAGAGCCCCTTGAGATTCTACACTCAAATGGCTCCAGCACGCCCCAGCTTGCCCTTGCTGAACAGCCACCCATTTGGCACAACGGTTTCCAGCACCCACAGGTAATTCTCCTACCGTCCAGGAGCCAGGCTGCTCCACGTCCCCTGTGGGTGTCGGGGGATAGCTGCATTTATTACCTGCTGCAATTTTCACTGTGGGATCAAGTCTGTCAAGGGTAGGTTTCAGCCACCCCTCTCCTCCAGGATTAGGGGAGTTTGTCAGGATGGAGAAAGGCCTCACCCCTAAAATCCCATGTCCAAAAGGTTTAGTAATGCTACAAAGCTGGATGGTACCCTGACACTTGCCTTGTATGATAATGATTCAGATGGTATCACCCATTCCTCCAATCTCCTATCTTTGAAGCATTGATGTATTATGAAATCTGAATCTATATATTGACATTGTGTTTGAAGATTAAATTGAAGCTAAAGCTTTGTGAACCTTTTCCCATGGGCTAATTCACAATGGCTTTAAGGTTGTTGTTAACAAAAAAATTCTGTGATGTTCTGTGTTCTGTAAACTACTTCTGTTTTGCTAACTGAAAATTAACTTTTGCCTTTTTCATGCTATTAGAAAAGAGTTGGAGAAAATGATCCAGCCTGAGCTGCTAAAATTGCTCACTTTTCACTCGACACTCTCTTTTTAACTAATGGAACTCAACCTCATATTTGAGCAAATCCCCATTTTCCCTTGTCTGTTCCTCTGTATAAGCATGGCAGTCGATGGCCTTTAAATTTCCATATGTGCATAATTTGTTTCTGACTCATCGTTTTTGCTTTTAAAACTTTAGCTCAGGCAGAAATACATTCCATAAAAATACATGTTTTCAGGAAACTGTTTGGTAAACTCATGTTTACACATAAACTGCATTTTATTCTGATAGATGTATTCCTATTTTCTTTGCTAAAAGAATTCATGTAAAATGTGATTGGAAAAGCACAATCATCATTTCAGATTAATATTGTGCACACAACTGATTTTACTGTCATACTATTCTCTATGCACAGGACCTGAAAGTAAAAGCAGCTGAGCAGAAAAGCGTCATTGACTTCATTGAATCATGCGTAGAAAAAATGCAGCCACAGTTTGAGGACAGCATGACTCAGAAATTAGAATCAAGGTACAAAATAACAAAATCAGTTACCGGATTCAGTGATGTAAAACTGCCTAAACCTGCTGAAACTTTGCAGTGGCACCATTGGTTCCGTGCAAGGATGTGTGCCTTTAGAAGAAAAATTGCAGAAGCTGGAGATTTCTGCCATCAACAGTCTAGAGAAATGGGAGTCTCATTTATGTGACACCCTCTTTGATATTGGGTTGACTCCGGTGTTTAGAGTCAGTCTTGATATCAGGCAGGACTGATACCTGCCATAAACTAAAGCAGGCCCATCTGGAGGCAAGTTGGGTATCTCTGTTCACAGCCTTTGCTGTACAAATGCACAGAGATACCCAGCCAGGTTTAAAGGCAGCATCTTTGAAAAGGGGGCATTGGGATCATGCACCTTCCAGCATGGAACCAAGACATGCTACGGGACTATGCTCCCCATATTGTCATTTCAGAGATGGAGGCTGCCAGCAGGCCCCTATGGTGTTTCACAGAAAGGGAAAAGCCCATAGAAATGTATCAAAGCTTGGATTAAAGATCATCCATGCACTTGGTTTCACTCTGGTTTTGAGGCAGGAGCAATAAAAACTAATCTTATTCAGGAAGTCTTACAAATCTAATTTTGCTTGTTCTGTTTCAGTATTTGCCATTCTAACAATGTTTTCTCAATACAGCAATGGAGAATCTGATCCAAAGAGCAAGCATGCTGATCCCACCTTACCTCCAAAGGACCAAACGGGTAATAAATGGCAATATTTACAACAAGAGCTGTCATCAAAGATGAAATCTCCTCTCTGCCAGCTTGTGGAACCTCAGGTCTGTTTAAGTTCAGTAAAACACTCCTTCTACAGGCAGTTGGTTGTGATAAAGATAGCAATTAGTGTATCTTCCTGCATCATCATATCATGTCTCTTCATCAGATAACTGAAATCTGTGCAAGCGTTCTCCAGAGGAAATTGTTACTGCATACTGTTTTCATGACTGTCTTTTAATTTTACTTTGAGGTAAATAATGTCTCTGAAGTAGTGACTACCAAGCATAGTGTGGGAGCACATAGTTGTAATTAACATTCAGACCAGATGTTATCTGCTTAATTCTTTCAAGAGAACTAAGAGAGTTAGCCAGCAAGCTCCCAGCTGATTTTCATGGATGTGGGTTAAGTCTCAGTTCTTGCAAGTGAGAACATTTTGGTCAAAACGAATCTCTGGCTTAAATTTTGTTCTGCCATTCGCCATTGTGTTCTCTCTTTCTCACATATCAGAAGCAGAGTTTGGACTGCAACAAGAGTCTGAACAGACTGCAGAATTTTACTGCTTGGACAAAACTATAATTTCTGTTATTAACAGTTTTGTTCACATTAAATTAGAATGACTAGTTCCCTGTTCTCTAAAATTACTGCATTACATGGAAGAATATCAGTCATGTAAAAGGATGAATGTCAGCTCTTTTTCAGGCAAGACTTACACTGCAGTGGGCAGTAGGGCTGCCTTAACACAAACTACAACTTGTAGCCTGTGAAGCTGGGAATCAGAGACTCCTTTTTCAGTCAATCTGCCAACAGGGCATAGCCTCCCCAACTAATTTTTGCTGGTAAAAAAGGAACCCTGCTATCCAGGTGTTTTATATTAATGCCTTGAAACTTTCATTTCCACGCTTTTTGAGAGGAGTGTTATCTGGTTGCCCATAGTCCTGTCTTCATTTGAGCTGTTCTTTTTCCAAATGTTAGATTACAACGAAGATGAACATGCTGCCCCGAGGCACATTTGCTAGTGCAGGAACCCCAACTGTGGAAGAACTGAAAACTTACACTGTCCAGCTGGGAGACCTAAGCCAAGAAGCAAATGTGGTGCATGCACAGGTAAAAATGGCATGTCCTAGCATTGCAAAAAATACCAGGGATTCTAGACACAAGACACTGTCTGGCACTGGGAAACATAACCAATAATCATATTATTGCAGATGGCGTTCCCTGTAGTGTAGCTTTTGCATCAGGTATGGACTATAATGTAGAAATCAACTTAGGATTTTGAAAGGAAACATTTCAGGTTTCAGCTATGATACTTCTGCTACCTGAATGCAAAGATTTGCTAGTGTCAGTAAAACTCCTCAAACTGTATAAAGCAAGGAGCGTGTGAATGATTTCAGTAAATCTGCAGTATTGGAGCTGACAAGACAAATTGTGTTGTGCCCTTTCCTGAGATTAGAGACCTATAAGACCACAGTCACTCCCAGTACATAAAGGGTCATTGTCTCAGCTTTGGCCTTGACAGCTCTGTATATTACATGCATATAACTGTCTCATCGAAGTCTGTCCCTCAGTATTTCATTAATTCCATTTTATTATTAGCTGACTGAACCTCTAACCTTATACAAGTGAATAAATTTTATTCGTGCCTTGGGTGAAAGTACTGAAAATTTCTGACTTGCTGTTAACCAGGATAATGTGGCAGAGGAAGTCTCTTCCAATCTGGACAGAAAATTGTTTGAGCTGCTTCTGGCAATCAGCCGATGTTTGAATAACATGGAGGAGATGTTAAACACCTCAGTCCTCTCCACTGAAGAGGCAGCCGTGCAGCAGGCTCTTTATGAGGTAACTGTCCTAAAGCATCCAGGGAAGGAGAAACCCCAGTGGATTTCTATTACAACAGAATATATATGGCCTGATATTTCCTCTCTGTTTTGCTGGTGTTATTCCTGAATAACACCACCAAACTATTTGGTGTTGCACAGATTTGGGCCTATTGCTTTTAACAACAATTATCAACTTGAGTCCTGCTGCCTTTTACAGGCATTCCTTAGACAGAGACCATTTTCACTCATGTTATCTTTCTTTCAACCCTTTAGACTCTTTCTGTTGAGCTGCAAAAGCTTCACGCTGATCTGAGTGATAAAAAGGATGATCTTCTAAAGTCTATTAGCTGCGCTGGTGGGAGCACAGATGTGTTCTGTGAGTGCTTTAACAACTTGCAGGCGCGGCTGGAACAAACTCAAGCTGCCACTGCTTCAAGGAGCAACTCAATGAAAGCTGGGCTGGATCATAATAGCAATTATCAGGTACTCCACTGCCAAATGCACATCTTGTTTCACAGCATCTGTTAGACTTGTCAGTGTTAATGCATTTGGGTTACAGATGAGCAATCTATAATGGGCTTTCTTTTTTTTGGTACTAAACAAACTTGTCTTGGCCTCTCAAGAAGCAAATTAATTTTGCTATTTACAGTGCTGTTTGCAATGCTGACTACCGTAGAGGCGTTGATCACAGTAGAAAATTTGCATGCAGAAAGGATGGAAGTAACTTGGGATCCCATGCACGCTGAGCTACAGGCTAAAGCAAGTTTCTCTGTGTAGAGATTAGGCGAAGGAGGGTTTTGTATATTCTTTCTGCTGCTGTGTGGACTCAGGAGGGGCAGGCTTCTTCCCTCCTGATGCCATGTCTGGCACTGGGCTACTTTTAGCTATGTATTGGAGGTTGATTTCACCCTTTGTATTTACTGTTCCTTTAGATTTTGTGCCACAGTAGCAGAAGCCATAGTTTTGCAAATTTGCCTTTTTTTGTTCTTTTTCGGAAAAGCAGATAATGAGAAACTTTTCTACAGATTCTGATGATGGGCTAAATCTACTAGGTATGAATGGAAAATACTCAGATCAGGTATTTAGGCTGAAGTAAGGAAAGAAAACCTGGTCTTTGAAATACAGTTTCCAGTGTCCAGCAAAACTCCAGTGTGCTCATCATCTGCAAGTCAGCCTAGCTCTTTACCTCTTTACTGCTGAATAATAAAACAGTTCCTTTGAAGAACACTGGGATGTTGTCTTCCAACAGTAGCAGGACTAGTCTTGCAATGTTCACTTATGCAGAATCCATGGAGCTCCGTCAGTCGCCAGTAATGGGCTCATTTTCTCATTTTCAGAAGAGAAGAGTTTGTTTCTCTATAGGTTTCACAGATTTTTACAGTCATAGAGGATCATTGTGACAGAGTAATCTGCTTTCTTACACTACACGGACTACAGAATTTCCCTCCCTAAATTACTGCTTTAAGCCCATAATGCACATGCTTTATTTTGTTTTTTTAAAGAGGAAAAAAAGTGCTTTTGCTGTAAGAGGTAACCATTTTGTTTGCTATGTAATTTTGTCTGGTCATTACTATATTCCTCATATGTGATATACTTCTGATGTTTGTTTCTTTTGCAGAATGAAACCAGGCTGCTTTACGATCAGTTAACTGAGAAAAAAGCTACTCTGCAACAATGCTTGAATGCAATACGTGGACATAATGTTTCTGAACAGCTTCAGGTAATTTCATTCGAAGGAAAGGAGAGGAAAAAGTCTCAGCATCAGCTATTATTTCCAGTTTTCTGCAATCTATTAAGTTTCATATTTTCTAAAGTTGAGTCTCACTTAGGTTTTAAGAATGGAGGAAGGAGAGAGTTCGCCAGCCCTTTTTTTTTTTTTACCCCCACTACACCCCAGTCCTTAGTCAGACCTAATTCCAGTCCTTTTAGTAGTTGGAGTGGAGGAACCAGTCTCTCCACAACCTCTCAGAGCAAATATACCCCACACTACAGGAAGAAAAAGAGCTACAAAAAGTACAGCACATCACACATTATGCCTTTTTATAGGCAAAACTAGCTTTTTGTTGTGGGAATAGGGCTCCAGTATTTATATCTACTCATTCAGCATTTATGAGCACTTTATCACATGGCATTTGACGAGTTAAGCTGTTTTCTTTGACCTTCATAGGGATTAGCAGAGAATTAAAAATGAACAGACTGCATATCCTCCCCAGAATGGTCATCAGCCATCTATCTACTTGTTGGTTAAGCAAACTTTCTTGTTACAGGCTCATAACCTTGTTTACAGGCATAATTTTCTGCCAGGCTGAAAGCTATTTTCAGAACTGCTGAATCCCCTAGCAGGGACTGCTGCCTTAGATATATTCTGTCAAGTAACCACTCGTAGAAGAGTAATGCCAGAAGTACATAGCTTTCCTTCCTTCAGAGAGAACCTGTCTCAATCCATCCCTGACTGAGCCTTTCTACTTCATAAGAAAAAATGGTATTTTCTGAGTCCATGGTTCTTTTTAATGGCTGTTCTTGAATTAGTAAACTGAAATGCATGTTGAACGTTGGACTGAGACACAAGACCTGAATTCCCTTCCTGGCTGTGCCATGTGAACCCAGTAAGCTGTGTCCTGAACAGTCTTGTCAAGTTAGCCTATAAGCTCGTTGGATCTCAGGGTCTCATTGTGAACTTACGCAGTACTAGCACAGCCCCTGGATCTGCTGCACTACTAGTGATAATAGAAAGTTTAATGGAACAGAACTCTTCCTAATAGCTTATTTTGTCCTTAATTCAGAAAACTGATGCCTGTGCTTTGGAGCTGCAAAACTTTGAAAACCAAGTAGCAAAACTGAGAGGCCATGGGGAAAGATTTCAGTTACCTACCACCTTAATCCAGGAAGCTTATAAATTAGAGGTAAGAGCACAGTACAATTTCCACTTACTCAGCAAGGTTTGATTCTTCTAAGCGAGGTATTTTTAGCATCAAAAGGCTGATGGTTATTTTGCATTCTGGGAATGTGTGTGTGGGTTTGTAGGATTCATTTCTGTCCCTCATGAATCACTAAACTGTGTTTACATTGTAGGATGTTTTGGATGACATGTGGGGGATTCTGAAAGCAAAGTATGTGGAACTGAACCCTCCTTCCATCAGTGAGAGCCAGTTTGAGGACTTACTTAATGGATTTGCAGAGCTGGTAGCTATTGGACAAGAGAAGATTGCACAAGATCCAAAGCAGCTAACGAAAAGCAGAGCAGCTCTACAGTCTCACCTGGAAAATCACAAGGTATAAGATGCTTATCACAGCACTGCTCAGATCAGCATAGCAGGAGCACTATTTTCTGTGACTGGTTTCTCTCCAGTGTTATGGAGAAGAATAACTAGCTCATAGCATAGGGGAGGGAATGGAATATGTGCAGAAAGCAAAGCAAAGTTTTTCAGTAGACCAAAATAGAACCCACTAAAATATGAAAGAGAGGTTGTTTTGGTGATAAATTAAGATTGGGATTTCAGTTTTGTCAGTCTAATACTACTTCGGCTTACATCACAATAGATTGATGTGTGAGGAAAACACATGTCCTTCTAATTACTGTCAATAAATCAGTAAGGTTCCTGAAATTGATGTCTAGCAATTCTAGCATCTTCCTACAACATCTTTGTATTTCATATGAACTGAAGGTATAAATGTATATCTTTTTCTTTAGAAATGTATAAATGAAAATAGTGTATGCAACTCATCTGTGCCAGGGGAGGTTTAGACTGGACATTAGGAAGCATTTCTTTACCGAGAGGGTGGTCAAACACTGGAACAGGCTTCCTAGAGAGGTGGTCGATGCCCCAAGCCTGTCAGTGTTTAAGAGGCATTTCGACAACGCCCTTAATAACATGCTTTAACTTTTGGTCAGCCCTGAAGTGGTCAGGCAGTTGGACTAGGTGATCATTGTAGGTCCCTTCCAACTGAAAATACTCTATTCTATTCTATTCTATCACTGGTTCTTGACTAACTGTAAAATGATCAGTAACTGCCCATCTTGGGGTGATGCAGAATTTCGGTAGAAGGCTCCTGACTCCAGCTATGAGAGACCCTGAAACTGGCTACTCAGTGAGTCTTCTCTGTCTTCTTCATACTGTTGCTGTGGGTGTGTGATCTCTCTTAAAGAGCAAGCTTTAACTTGGTTTTTTTTTTTTAGGACTTTTTCCACAACCTCATGACTCACATGGCTTTCATGCAAGCATTTTCCAAGAAAGTGACTCCCTCCATCCTACAAAAGAGAGAGGAATTCTGGAGAGAGCTGGTGAATGAAGTCAAGTTGTTGGAGCAGAAGGCCTGCCAGTATGGTATACACTTAGAGAGCCTGTTAAAGGTAATCAGTCAAAAGAAACCCAGAGTAAAAGCTGGAGGGAAGAAGGAAAAGAGTTGTGTCTAGGGGAACCCTTTCCACACCAGTGATTCTTTGGCTAGTAGTTGTCCTTTGCTGTCTCCATTGGACAGCAACAGTCTATTACTTGTTCTGTGTGTGTCAGTAAACTGGCTTTTTTCCTTGAAAACCTCTGAAATGGACATTTCAACCCATTACTCCGGCATGGGTGGGACTTTATGACTTATTGCAGTAATTTTTGAGTGCCTGGGCTGACAGGAGAGCCATTTAAGGCACAAAAATACCAGCACCACTGTAAAATAAAACCTAAATATTGATCTTAAAACACCCCAGAGAATGAAAAATTAAGTATACCACTTTGAAATAAGAAACCTTGAAGATATTAGAGAATGAATGAATTAATTCATCTGTGGTGAAATCATGTCTCACTTTAATATTTTCATATTATTCACCTATTTTCGTGTTTTGTTTCATTAAAGTAAGAGCTGCTGATGCTAGAATAAGCATTAAGGCCTCAGTCTGGTGTAGCAAAAGTGCAGATAGATGTGTGCTATGTTAATGATGCAATGTATTTTTTAGGAATGGGTGGAATTTGATGATGAATGCCTAGTTTTCAATAAGGAGTTAGAGGCACTTGCCTCTACATTGCCTTCTGTGAATTTGGTTGAAGAAACAGAAGAAAGATTAATGGAAAGGATTGCACTTCTACAGGTATTTATGTGTCTGTCTCTCTGACTGGTTTTCTTCATGGATCTGTAGAGCTTTTTGTCCTTGTGTGTGGATGCAAGCTGTAAACTTACTTTTAAAAGTAGCAGGAGATCAGGCTGCTAATTTCAGCCAGGGGCTATAAGTTCATGTAAGTGGGAGTAGTGACTATAGGTTCTTTAGAACTTGGTCTTCAAATGCAAATATTTGGGAGAAGATAGTGTGCAGGCTACATGGATCCCAAGGACAGCAGGGAGCCTTGGTGTGAACACAGAGCCACTTCTTTGTAATTCAGGAACGATTTTCATGCCATGATGTAAAACCTATGGAAGAGGAGAATCAACCCAGTGGCTTCCAATATATGAACTCCTGGTTGCAATAGAAGGTCTACAGGTTTACCAGCTCTTTTTAAAATTCTGAGAATTCAAAATAAGATGTCCTGATTTCTATCATAACAAAGAAACTAAAATTCCTTTTGTATAGAATGGCAAATAGGCTCCTGGCTTGTTCCCAGCTGCATCTCTGATGGCAGAGCTACACCTTTATTTAGAACCTCAAGTCCAGTTGGAAACATTTTATCTATGTTTTAAACACATTTGAATATAAGGATATGAAAGCAGCCTTTATGGTTGTTTCATAAAATTAAGAAGAAATAGTGTTCAATAAACTTAGTGATGTATCTTCACAGAGTGCTCTGCATTCCTCACAGGTTTGACCTTTCTCAGTCTTCAGAGGACCCACTGTATTAGAAATTTTTGAATTAATGAGTCTTTGGGTCTATATTGAGACCAGTTTGATATTTAGATGCATAGACTATTAAGGCAAAAAGGACCACTATGATCTAATATAGTTGACTGCATGAAAGAGATCATTGGATGTTCCCAGAAAATTCTGAGCTACAGTAAAGCTTTTGAAATAAATCAACAGTAGATATTTACAACCACAGTGGCCCTCTGTGCTTTTGATGCCTGTCACGCTGAGACAGGAGACATGCAATATTTGCATAGCCATTGATGGTGAAGTTGCTTGGTTCGCTTTGGTTTTTTAAGTAAGTTCTTAACTAGCTTTTCACTCTTAAGTCTTTAAAGACATCAGAAACAAAGTAGTAAGGCTTTAGAAGATGCTTTTGGAGGGAGTCCCAGCACTGGAGCTTCATGGTTTCAAGGACGGAGCAGAATAAAATTCTCTGGGGCTTAATTCCTGTGAGAGAAATATCCCTATTAACAATACTGTACAAGCCCCTTACGCCTGGAGAGAAGTGAGGTACTTGCACATCACACAATTGCTATTTTCTGCCTTCTCCCTAGGATTGATCTACTTCCTGGGGTTTTTTTCTTTTTTTTCCCTTTTCTCATTTTGACCTACCAATGAAGTGTAGCAATGGTAAAATGATGCTTTGTTTTTATTCACCTGTCTAAGCAAACGAGACCACTCCTATGTCTTTTACTTAATGTGTTCACTGTTCACTCTTCATTCCTCCGTGCCACCATTATTCAATAATTATCCCAACAGCTTCCTTCAAAACACTGGTAACATTTTTTTAAATAGGATAGAGCCAGAAGGCCCTCTAAGAACAGGAGGGCACTAACTTTCTGCTGAGGACAGTCATATGTTTGGACAATGTAGAGGTTTACATGTGTCAAAAAAGCCCATCATAACACAGTCATTCTGATAATGTATGAAATTATATTGAGATCTGTCTTGGTCTATCCAGGGGAAAAAAATAAACCCACATTCCTGTGTTACTTTTGCATGTAATGAAGTACAGATTCCTTCCATTTGGAAAATAAAATACATGACAGAGGAAATGTGAGATTAGAAAGTTAGAACAAATGATACATGTTTTGCTAGCTGTGTTTCCAGTTTTTAAAATATTATTGTTTTGCAAACTTCCCATATTCTGACAGCAAATCAAAAGCAGTGTTGATGAAAAGCATGCCAGGCTGTACCAGATGGTGAAAGAAGGGAAGAAATTGCTAACTGCTGTGAGCTGTCCAGAAATAAGAAGCCAGATTGGGAAGCTGGAAGAGCAGTGGTTGTCTTTAACCAAAAAAGTTGGCCATGAACTACACCGACTTCAGACATTACTCAAACTCTTGGTCAGGTGGGTATAACTCAGAAAGCAATTAGAAATATCAGCTAGAAATTAGTTTCTGGCCTTCTATAGATGTGTTTTCTGAAATATGACAGTGAATTAATAAGTAACATAACTCCTTTCACTTAAAAATGAGAAAAAAAAAAAAAGTGGTGATGAGAAGAGTGGCCCTTTATTACACAGCTGATCCTCTCTCATTGTGTAGACAAGTGCTTCTCTTCCTGCTTATTTTTGTAGGACAAATATTTTGATTGCTGCCATTGCAAAGTCAGTGCATCTAGGTGAGAGTTAGCTGCATCGTGCTGCAGTTCGTACATTGGAAGTGTTAACAGAAGCTCTGATCGTGCTGCCCTAAGCATTTTGGCCTGCTACGAATGCAGGCTAGCCTTGATTCCCATGCAAAGGCATAATGCGCCTGTCTGTGCACATACACTATCTACCTTACAAACATTCAAGACCTGGCTGAAATGCTGCCTCAACTTGTGTTTTGAAGCTCTACAAAGGGGAAGGACCCAAGCACACTCAATGCTTTCACATGGCCCAAGCCAACTGTCAATGCAGTCCTGGCAGTCAGGTGGAGACGGTTTGGGGTTCTACAGCCCAATCCACCTGCTGATGTACCAAGCTCAGCTTTCCCTGCACCTGCTCTGTGTGCTCTGAGCTCAGGCTGGCTGGACCCATAGTGCGGACAGAGCATGCCAGTGTTTGTTGGTATTTACCTCTGCTGTGTATTCTGCACTGTATCTTGCAGTGTCCACAGTCTCCTCTGGTGGTTTTGTCCTTCAGCAAAGCTCTTTTCACCCATGTGAGCTTGTCCTGGCAACTGCTGGGTGGATACAGAAAAAGTATGTTTTCAGGGAGAGCAGACCAGCAGAAAAGAGCTGATAGGAACAGTCTCGTATGTACTTCCAGCAGAACTGCTGTGTTGCACATTGATCCATGCTGTATAGCCATGCTTCCGCAGGGTTACATAGCAGGATATGTGCCAGAATCGCACATGCCTCTTCACAGAAGGGAAGACAACTTGGAGCGTGAGAAGTGTATCCTATACTCAGCTAGATGTATGTTTGTGTGTTTTGTTTTCTTCTTGTAGCTACAACAGAGACTCGGAGGAATTAATGAAATGGCTGGATTCTGCTCAGCAGAGAATAAATTTTTGGAAGGAGCAGTCTCTCAACGTGTCACAAGATCTTCCCACCATCAGGGATAACATCAACAGCTTGTTTGTAAGTCAGTTCTCCTGCCGGGTTTAGATAAGACATCATGACTTCCGGTGAAAATGACCCTTTTGAGTGGTTTTTGTATTTGTCATGACCCAGAAGCTGCCTACAGAATGTAGCACTGAATGGCTTTGTGCCCCAAAGCCAACCCATTATCTGTGTGGGGAGCCATGAGGATGGGAGGCCACCAAAGACCTTCCCTCAGATTGCGAGGCCAGCCAGAATGCATAAATCAGAATGGAATCCTTGCGTAATGAGCTCTCAACTGCAACATATCACAGCCCAGCCAGGATCTCTTATGCATCCACAGTGTAATAGCATGGTTTCTGTCTTGCTCCTTATGCCAAATACCAGATACAGCAGTTCAGCCAAGCTGCTGGGCCCCTTACCAACTGAATCTGGAGTGTGGGCTCAGGGAGCAGGGGTGAAGACAGCAGGGCTGTGAAGATGGTGAGCCAAAGTCAGGGAAGAAAAACATGCTGAATTGCATTTCATGTCTTCACCTGCCCCCCTAGTGCTGTGTTCCCCTTGTATGACTAGCCAGGAGGTTCAGCCCCAATATAAGGCCTGACAGAGGGAGTCTTGCACAGTGGGAAAGCAAAACGTCTTGACAGTTGGACTGGTAGGTGTGAGCTGGCCGGAGACTCAAGGACTGGGGTTGCTCCCTGGACCTCTGTGTGAAGTGAGGATCAGGATATTCCCAATCCCTGTGGAGCAAAAGGTGACATTCAGCATTGTATCAAGCTGGGCAGAAAAAGGCCTTACCTGCTGCCAGAACATGTTGAGTTTAGGTTTTCTGAACTTTACAAACTTGCTAAAATCTGTTTGTGGAGGCAGTTCATCCTGTGATTGAAAACCTGGTTTGTCTTCTTTATTTAAATAGATACATAAATATTTACCCTCTCTTAAATTTCTCCCGTGCCCCTCAGACATTCTCTAAGGAAGTTGATGAAAAATCTTCCCTGAAGTCATCTGTGGTGAGCACTGCCAACCAGCTCTTTCACGTGAAGCAAGCTGATACTGCAGCACTTAGGTCATCTTTGGCAAAGTTTGAGCAAAAATGGGGAGAACTGATTATACAGCTCCCAGCCATCCAAGAAAAGCTTCACCAGGTGAGGAGAAACTCTGCTGCCATCTCTCAGTTCAAGCTAAATAATTACTTGAAAATGTTGTTGCTGAATTCAGACGGCTGCTGCATAAGGCCCGCAAAGCGCCTCTTTCCTAATTAGTTGTCTGTATTGCTTTCAGAATATCCCCAATATTGTACTCCAGTTTAATTATTGCAGTGTTCTTCCTGGGCTGTTTTGCACACATCTATCATCTTTACAGTTTTATATGAAAGTCTGTTACAATTAGAAAGAATTTTATTTCAAATTTCTGAATTCTCAACCTTTTCTTAATTTAAGTCATATGCCCCTCTGGAGCACAGGGCTCACTTTCAAGTTCATACCCTGATAATTGCAATTATAGTGCCTGAGCCTTTCTAAAAATACAGATGTCATCTTCCTTGATATTTCTAACAAGCAGAGTGTAGAGGGTTCATTATATGCTTTACCTCCAGCTTCAGATGGAAAAACTTTCATCGCGGGAAGCTATTGCTGAACTAATGACCTGGCTGGACCATGTGGAACAACAGCAGGGACATGAGGAGCCAATAAATTCACAATGTAGTGCTGCCCAAGTCAGAAGCCTTCTTCAGAAGTACAAGGTAAATGGGAAGCTGTAAGCCCAGGCCTTCTGCAAGGTGTTTGGCTATAACAAGGACGGAAACAACCTACAGGCGCTCTCATATCCTTCCCCTTGCTCTCAAGAGGGTTCCTCAAACAGTCTCAAAGGTGCCTGAACATCTTCCTTTATAAAAACCTTTTGCTTCCATGCTGCACAGAACACTGCCTGCCCTGCAATACAGCTACTGCTCATTGTGTTATAATCTCCTTTTCCTCATGCTGTCCCATCTGTCTCACTTGTTCTCTCTCTCTTATATTTAGATTATAAAGTGTGTTGAGCAGGAAAGCTTTGCTCCCTTAGGAAGATAGAGTATGTTTGTGCTGTGTTTTAGTCTGCCTTTTCAACAAGGAGTATGTCGTAATTTTGGAGCTCCATAGCCAGGATTAATTTAACTAGAGAACAAGGTTTTTGAATATTACGTTTCATCAAAAGAGATAAGCTGCTAGGAAAGAGGGACAAGATGAATGTCCCTGCAGAGAGAGACTGCAGCAGACTCTTGGCTCTGTTGACATGCTAAAGCACCAATAGCAGAGGCTGATTGCCCCAGCCACAGGAAGGATTCAAGCCATGCCATGCTTGTACCTCCATAGATGCCAGGGAGCCCAACTTCAGGGCATGAATCCCTACAGAGCTATATTTTTCTCTGCCTATCCAGAGCTACCGAGTGGTGCTCTGGGCTCAGACAGGACGACAGTTCTCTGTCTGCAGCTGCAGTTCTCAGACACTTTGGTACTGCACGTAAGGCAAGTGCCAACGTAAGCATTTCTTTCAAAGTGCCTTAGTGTAGCAGATATATAACACTTCGGTCTATATCAATTGGATTTGGAAGTTGGAACATGAGGTGCTTTTTAACCCTTTGGATATTTAGAGATGAGTTTGTAGGTGTGCCTTCTGCACTTGTCAGCAATGTGGGGATGTGTATGCTGGGGAGAAAGCTGGGATGAAGGTCATGAATTCCTACAGGGAAGCAGCTAAGGCTTCAGTCCCTCTACTGTGGTATTCCCTGGTGGCTTTTTTCTGGGTGCTACTATGTACAATGAGGAGCCCTTTCCTCCCCTCTTCTCCTAAGACCTTCTGAAATAAAAAGGCATTCCCTTATGTTGTTCTCACTTTGCGCATAGTTTATCACTCATCTCTGTGGGCAAGGACACTGGTGCTGGAGGACACTTTTTCCGATACTCTATTCTGATACCAGATATTTGATAAAGGAGCACAAGCTCTTGTCTGCATTTGTCTGTGAGTTGTAGGAGTGTGGGAAGGCCTCAGTCTTAGCCTAATCTGGGCCCATGGCAGTGTGATGGTATTGTCCAATGGATAAAGTACTGGGTCTGGTATCCCTAGGTTTTATTCGCTGCTCCCGCACTAGCCTGTTCTTACCTTAAACTACTCACCTAATGATAGTGATTTTCTGCAAAAGTTTCAGTGGATGGAAATAGCTACGCAAATATAGAACAGTAAAAATTGAGAATTATTCCTACAGCCAGGTCTCTTTCAGAAAAATATTTTAGGCCATGGTTCAGAATAAGCCATGGATGTCCCGTAACTATGCCTTGAAGCATCATTGGAACTGATAAGATTAAAACTGCCAAACTAATTGGTTTACGTTTTTGTTCTTCTTTTTTTTTTCTCCCCTCCAGGAATATATGATGGAAATGAACTTTAAACAGTGGATGGTAGATTTTGTTAACCAGTCACTCTTGCAGATGAGCACTTGTGATGTGGAAAGCAAGCGGTATGAAAGGACAGAATTTGCCGAGTGTCTTGGAGAGATGAACCTGCGGTGGCACAGGCTGCAGGCATCTCTGAACAAAAAGGTTTGATTGAGTTCTCATTGCTTTCTCTCACAACTCTGATCGTGCCTGTGTCGGTGCTCTGTATTTTGCAAGCAGCCTTTCTCCCTGAGTCTGAAAACACTGTTGAACACAGTGAGACTCCCTGTGCTCTCTGCTGTCTGTCCATCCTGCTGTGGACAGCCTATGGAGTGGTCTTGTAGCACATCAGCTATCAGGTGGTGGGAAGGCATCCAAACCTCAGCAAGGTCTGGGAGGGTAAACTCTCCTGTAATGTGCAGGTAGGGAAAATAGAAAAAAATCTGCTCATCATGAGAGCCTGGGATTTACACTAGTTGACTGTGTTAGGTGGAAAAAATAAGATTCCTTATATGAAGAAAATACAGTGAGTGACATGTCAACAAAAAAGACCTATATTGAGAAAACCATGAAAAAGGAGGAATTCAGGGTAGTGTCTGCAGGGGAACCTGTTAGTGAAATCTGTTAAAGCTGTGAAAGTTGGGGCATTTAAAACTTAATTGGAGAAAACACTGGATGGTTTGTGGAAAGGAGAGGTGCTACACTGCTTGGTACAAACAGCCAGGCCCTGCTCAGCAAACACAGCACCAAAAAAGCAAACAACCCCTCCACATGCCATACGATGGGAATGAGAAATAGGGATATATTAAGCTACCACCTGTTTTCCTGTTGTAGCAGTTGGATTTGCCAAAAAAGTAATTATTAAGTAAGTAGTGTTGACAGCCGTGTTCAGATGGGGACATATGACCCTGCTGGAAAAGGCACAGCAGGGATCTGTTCCCAGTCCTGCTCCAGCCCTCCTGGGTCACTGGAAATGGGTTACTCTGTGTCTGTGTCCTCCTCCTGCAGTAATGAAATATGCTTTCCCAATGGAGTGCTTTGAAGATCAGCAGCTGATAGGCAAATTCTACATGTAGACTAACTATACCAGCACATCTTCTGTGTTTCTGTGCAGAAAATCTGTTTAAGGCAGTGCCTCAGAATTACTTTACTCTAGTGAGGCTAGAAATAATCCATGCATTCAGAATTAGATGCTGGTGCTTGTGTGCCCCAGTGCTAATGTGACTCATGCGACACAGAAAAGACCAGAGGAAGGTTAGCATCCCAAAATGCAAACGTGAGGCTGCTGGAATGAATCCCTCTACCAGCACATTCCTCTTTCATCTCTGTTTGTCTCCTGAACTTACAGGGCTTTGGGAGAAGCTGCCCTCCCTGAATCTAGATATAAACACTGCTGATCAAACAGAAAATTCCCAAATTTTTCTGACTCAGAAAGTCTTCCAGAAACATTTTCAAGTGGAAAATTCAGTTCCTGCACAATTGAAAAGTTCCATGACGAAATTTCAATTTTGTGGGCGAAAAAATTTATCTTCTCTAACCATTTTCAAGAAACTGCATTCTAAGATTTAATGGATCCTTAGGCTAAAATTGAAGATAGGAGACTTGAGGTCCCTTGCTTATTAGTAGCTTTGTTGGTGGATTTTAGGGAGAATGAGGTTTTCAGACTCCATATGAATGTGCCCATGTAGCCCAGGGTCCCCGAACTTGTCAGATCTGCAGCTTGCCAGCTCCAGAACCAGCACTGCCTTGTTTCCTTCCCAGGGAAAAGGTCAGATCCTAAAGAGCCAGTAAAACATTTTAGCTTTTCCTTTGAAAATATTTTCTCTAAATAGTATTTTCAATGTAAATATTGTAATCTCAAATTTTGTCATGGAAGGGGGAGCCCTATTTCTGCCCATCTCTAGGTTTAAGTAAATTAAAATAGTTCTGTAACTTTCAGATACAAGACCTGCAACACATTTTGGAGGATATTACTGAAAATGAGAACAAAGCACAGACTCTACGCAACTGGCTGGAAGCTCAGAGTGATCGACTGAGGTCTTTACAAACCCCAGCAAGTCTGATCTCTGCACGGAACACATTAGATGATTGCAAGGTAAAGCATTATATGTGTGATACTATTATAAAAAACATTTTTAGCACTTTGCTGAATCCAAACTAAAGAACTACACAGAAGTCCTAGAAGAATACTACAAATAATTTTAATTAAAGCATGTTAGGTTCAGGTGATACAGAGCCAGATCCACTTTTGATGTGAATTGCTATTTTAAGGTTTTTTTCCTCCAACTGAAGATGCATCTGCTGTTGTTCCGTGGTATTTGGAGTGTTGTGCAGCAATATTGTAGATCCTATTCTGAGATGCCTCCAAAAGAAGTAGTTCTCAGTTCAGCACAGCCATGGCAAAAGCTATCGATTCCATTAGTTTGAAGAGCTCTGTGGTGGCAGTGTCGTGGAAACTACACAGTCCATTTGGAAAAATAGCAACTCTCTATACTCCTGCTCTAGAATGTAGTCTCTCTGCACCAGCCTCAAGAATCTGGGTGTACTTTGGTTTTGTTGTGTTTTTCTAGGCATTAGCTCCCTCAAAATTAGTGCAGGTGCAGCCAGCTAATAATTGGCTTCTAGTACTCTGACAGTCTGCTGTTCTCACTCAGTACAGTGTTCCCTTTCTGTTTTTTAACATGGAATATTTGTTCTTTCATTGCCATGGTTACGTGTCTCTCTCTTGTAGTAAGCTGCTTTTATTGCCTAGTGCTCTGTTACACACCAAGTTACTTGTCTCTCTGAAGCACTCTGAAATGTATCGAGGGGCCAGAATGGAAGAAAGGCGCAGGGTATCTTTGACTAAAACACTAACCTGCTCACATCAAGGTACAGTGCTAGGATGCAGGTGGCTAAAATGTTTCATTAAAATTAATTTGCTCAATAAAAATGAGGTCCAAATTTGAAAATGTTTTGGGGACAGTAAGTGGGGGGAAAAAAAGGTCATGGCTTTAAGTGTAGTACACAGGAAAATGTTCCGTGTACGGATATTTACTCATGTTGTGAAGAACTTATTGCTGAGCTTTCCCCAGCATGTCCCCAGCTTATAATCCTGCTGATTGTGTTAGGGGAGAAGTTATTCTCCGAGGCATCTCCATTGATTTCAGTGGGGTTTCTCCCATGGGAGAAAGCCTCTGACTAAGAGGACAAGCTGAAAATAACTTTCTAGAAGTTAGGATGTCAGGGACCCTGATATTGCAAAGTCAGTTCCTATCTATAGGTACGTCAGGGATAAAAGGAAGAGTAGGGAAAATGTGGGCCCTTTCTGGAAGGAAACGGGATACCTGGTTACCTGGGATATGGAGAAGGATGAGGTACTCAATGATTTTTTTGCCTGTCTTCACTGGCAAGTGCTCAAGCCTCACCGCGCAAGCCGCAGAAAGCAAAGGCAGGGACTGGGAGAATGAAGA